GATTCAGATTCCAGTAATGTACAAGAAGTCGCATTTGTGCAACTACCGAGACAGAGAAGTGCACCCAAGCCTGTTATAGACATGAACATGACATATGATGATCTAAAGCCATACTGGAAAAGATTCAACATTGATATATCTCCCAAACTTCTGTTTTCTAGAGGCCCACTTGTGGAGGCATTGATTTCTGCAAACATCAGTCATTACGCAGAGTTCAAAGTCATCACAAGGATCTTAACGTACATTGATGGAAGAGTGGAGGAGGTGCCGTGTTCAAGAGCTGATGTATTTAGTAGTAATGCCATATCTGTAGTGGAGAAACGGATGCTGATGAAATTTCTGACTTTCTGCCTTGATTTTGAACAACAACAAGACCAGTATGAAGGGTTTGAGGACAAACCTTATAGTGAATTCCTCCAGTCTCGAAGACTGACCCCCAACCTGCAGCATTTTGTAATTCATGCCATTGCAATGGTCAAACCAGAAACTGCAACAGTGCAAGGATTAAAAGCTACACAAAGGTTTCTTCAATCCCTCGGACGCTATGGAAACACGCCCTTCATTTGGCCCCTTTATGGTGCTGGAGAGCTACCACAAGCATTTTGCCGCATGTGTGCTGTGTTCGGTGGCTTATACTGCCTCAGGCGAGGGGCATCAACCATCATTGTCAGTGAAGCTGATGGCACATGCACAGGAATAATCTCCGAAAATCAAGTGCTGAAATGCAAATGGTTGATAACAGAATTTTCTTATGTGCCTGAAAGATTCAGAAAAGAATGCACACAATTTGTTTCCAGAGCAGTTTTCATAACCTGTGGCTCTTTGAAGGCTTCTGAAGAGGATCACATCACTATTCTGTCAGTCCCTCCATCATCAGAGGGAGGAGAGCCAGTCAGAGTCACTGAATTAGGGCCATCCTCTATGGCATGTCCCAAAGGTCTCTACGTAGTCCATTTAGTTAGTAAAGGTTTGTCTGCTGCCAAGGAAGATTTGCAACCAACGGCAGACAAACTATTTCATTTTCCATCCGATGGTGAGTTGAGTGGCTTTCAGTGGCTTACTACACTGTGATTATATCAAATACAAAAAAATGACTATGTAGTCGCTATTTTTAATAGGCAGCTATTGAACAGTCATACCTCTTCACAACGGCCACCTTCGGGACAGAGGAAAGTGGCTGTTGTAGAGAGGTGGTTGTTATGGGGAGGTACATGTAGGGTTTTTTTTCCAGGGCTGCAACATTTTTTGTCAGAGTTTTTATTTTAGCACATATCAATACAACAGAAACACAGACCAACAATGTGCAGCGATCAAGTTTCATGACTTTTTACAACAGAAAATGGGTTTTTGTATTCACAGTTTGTCAGTTGTGGATTAACGTGCCATTGTCAAGAGGTTATTTTGGCCTTTTGGGACTAGTTGTAGTGGCAGTTGCTTTTGTGGGGTGGTGGCCATTGTAGAGAGATTAAAGTATGAGTGAATGTATGGACTGTCCACTGGGACCAAAAAATGTGGCTGTCATTGGAGGTTTATTGGCAAATTCTTTTTAACTGTCCTCACAGGTTTTCAGTCCACATCAGGCATTTTTTTAGGGTAACACTCATATTAACCCAGAGGTGATTTGTTCTGAGTTTTCTTATCTGCTTAGTTAGACGCTGAGCTCATTTTCTTTTCTAACTCAGCTGGAACTGCTCCCAGTGACAAGCCCACTGTCCTGTGGTCTTTGTATTTCAACCAAGCAATCCCTGATTCATCTTGCATCAGCGACTTGCCACCGAATGTTTATGTTACATCACTTCCAGGAATGTCCATAGGATTTGGTGAAGCCCTGCAACAGGTAACTGACTAAGAGCAAATTTTGCTTTTGTCCTCTCTTCCAATCTGTAAAATTAATGGGGAAAGCTTTTGGCCTCTCTTTTAAAAATCTGTTTGTGTCTGTATCCCTTCTCTTATTATATATATATAAAAAATATTAATAGCTTCTTAGACACATAGGTGTGATCAATATAACGTGATGGTAGTGATCAATGATTAATTTTTCCCTATATTTAGTACAACAAAGTGACAAAAATTAAGAGTATTATCATCTGGGGAATATATTGTGTCGATTTTCTACCAAATTCTTAAAAATAACATTAAAAGAGATGTATGGCAGTTAGTAAGGAGAATTCATATTATAAGCATGAAATTGAAAGTGTTAAAAACTGATAAAACTTCTCACCCGTCCACGGGTCCACAATACCAGAGCTTAACCAAGTTTTCTTGGAATGATGGTTTGATAAAGAGTGTTGCTACACCCCTTGGGTAGGCTATCTACTCCAGTCTTAGTATTTTGTGAGGTTTTCTCAATAGACCACTGGCACCCATTTATACCACTGTGTACAGAGATGCAAACCATTAGCAAGGGTACCTTGTCATCCACTCCTCAGAGCAAAACTCTGGTCTGAACTCAAGCTACAGATTATAATAATATATCGCATTTTATTTTTACCAAAATCTCTTCGTTTTTTCAGTCAAGTAGCTACAAACATTTCATTACTCTCTCTCCCTTTAGGCCAAGGAGGTATTTGAAAAAATCTGTCCTGATGAAGAATTCCTGCAACCAGTTCCTAACCCAGAAGATATCATATTAGATGACTTCTTACAAGATGCAAATCAGAATGCCACACAACCAGGGCTGGGAGCTCAAGCCGATGCTGCTGATCCAGACAGTGGGGAAGAACCTCCAGCTTTAACGACAGAACAGGAGCAAACTGAGGGCGACAGTGGTGTTAGCAATCAGCCCGGTGGGGAAGAAGGTCTGACAGAACAGGAACGAGCTGGGGAAGGCTGTGGTGTTAGCAATCAGCTCAGTGGAGAAGAGAGTCCAGTCTTAGCAACGGAACAGGAACAAGCTAATGCTGATGGTGTTGAAAGTAGTCAACCAAGTGAAGAAGACAGTCAATCAGCAACTGCACCATCTGACTCTTAGGAATATCAGGCAATATTATCATTAAACATAAAACTGTCTTGACAAAAAACAGCTTACTGTTATCCTAAAAATGGTTAACGATGGCAATATCAGTAGATAACAAGATGTCCCCTGATTCATAATGTATAGCCATAGTAAATGTGTAGGACAAAAATAAGGGGAGATGCAGAGGACTAATTTTTAGCGTGGTGGCAGCCATGGCTCGAGTCCCGCCCTGTAACGGATCGGGTAGCCACTCTCGTAAGGTCTCACATGGATGGCTTGATACCCTATTGAAGGACAACAGAACAAACAACAGAAACAATGCCCCTAGCCCCAAAACAATAACAGCTGCTAACAATCAAAAGAAGTACAAACTTGCGAAAACTGCTATACTTCTGCCTGGAACACTGCATTGTGGATTTTTCTCTTGGGTTGGGGTACAGTTTTCTTCACAGTGCCTCTCTCCATCTAGGTGTATAAATGAGTATTACTAATTTTATGCGGGGCGTTACCCTGCAAAGGACTAGCATCCCATCCAGGGATGAGTAGAAGCACTCCTGGGACACTTGACCCAACCTGCTTCCAAAAGTAACAGATGGACGAAATAAAAAATGTTACATGCAATGGTGACGAAAAGGCAATGTAGCTAAATTATGATCAAAAATTCACAATAATATTAATGATACATTTAGAGGAGAAATGTCGATTAGAGATAATTAGTATCTAAAATGTAACTGATTTTAACTTTATTTTGTCAATCACGGTTGTTATAGGCGGAACGGAATATCCATGTATTGACCAGCAGGTTTGAACTAGTACAAGTTGTAGCTGGAATCAATTTATTTTTCTTACGTAAATTTTTAAGAGCACAAATAAAGATCGTTGTTGTTTCAAAGTCAAACCTCTCCTGCTGTGTTTATCTCTGTTTACAGGCAAACTAAGCAACAACCTTCAACAGTATTTATCAATACCAAAAGAATAAATATTACAAGTTCCACCCACTAATAGCATGGCTTGTCGAGTCGGGTGGGAACCAATAGATCATAAACACAAAAATTACAACTCCATTTAATTAAATGTATGGGTTTTCACTCTCCACAAAATTGCAATCATTATAAACGCTTGACTGGAAACAAGAGACCATGATAGTGCCCATGATATTGATCTTGGAAATTCTATTGAAATGTTAATACATCTTCTGATGTTCTTTATGTTTGTTGTTGTTGTTGTTCAAAAATATTCGAGGAACGTTCCTTTCCTTACTTTACTGGGGTTTGCGTCAAGTGTCTGACTGTAAAGTGGTGCCAACGACTGATGGTCATTTGGGGTATACTGATACCTAAAATTGAATTTTTATTCTTTTTATCCGTTTTATAAACATTTTATTTTAAACTCGACGCATTAGCTTTCTAAGGTAGGAGTCCATTAAGCTCCGATTCATGGAGTTTAACTAAAGTATGTTTGTATGTATGTAGTATGTTTATATTGGTCANCCCAAAACAACAACAGCTGCTAACAATGAAAAGAATTATAAGCTTACGAGAGCTGGTACACTTTTGTTAAGTTACCTCCACTGACAGTCTAAAATATAGCCAATGTCTCGGGCGCTAGATGGAATCATTACGGTGGCAGTTGTATATAATAATAAGGCTGGGCACATAAGAAATCTATCCACAGACAACAGTAAGATCTGCCTCTAGATCGCTTAAGTGGCGTGATAAGACGTTACGTGACGTTGTATCGGGATAAGGTGTTTTCCTAAAGACTATGGTACTCGGACAATAATGCAATAAACACTCATCTCTTTTATTTCTTGTAGAAACATATTAGCTAATGTTGCGAGTACAGCTTAATGTGATTGTTTTATAAGCTACCCAGTTAGAATGCGATACTAATACCCCTACCATTCTTCTTCTGCTTCTAGCCAAATGAACGATCTGTAAATATTAGAATCATTATAATTTTCTATATTTATACTGTGAATTAAAAACTCAGTTAGATTAACAGCTTTGTCTGAGCCCATTTGATCATTTTGTTCTTTAAATCTGCCCTCAGAAGGTTTCATTATAGTTACATCAAAGTCTAAATTATTCAAGCGATCTTTGTGAAAACATTCTTTACACCTTGCATTTTGAAATTCATCCTTCAGAAAAGACAACATTGGTTTTTGTGCCAACTTTGAAAGAAAGTGAATCAGAGCCTGTTTCAAACCAAACTTCCATAAAGTCCATGTTTTTCAGAAGGAAATATCTTATTCAATTTTCCACGAACCCTTCTTATATTTCCCACCGTTAATTCCAAAGTCACCACCAAACGAGAGATTACTCTTGATTCCCTCTGGCATACATTAATTGTATCTATATGTCATTCAACTTGTTACAGCGAGCTTAATCTTGTTGCAAACTGTTGCAAATAACCAGATTCAAAGAAAGTCGAGGTAAACAATAGCCCTCATGCATGATGACATCAGTCAAGCACATTTCACCACCAAGCCTCGCTTTTAAAATACAAATTACAAAGTTTGTCATGAACAAATTTCCAACGCAGCAAAGATGAAAAGAATACCCTCGTGAAAACAACACGAAGGTACCTGAGGTTTGAGAAAATTTCTCGTAAACGAGAATTGGTGGTGAATTTTGAGCACGTGAAGTATGACCTATTATCGTCCTGAGGTATAATTACTTTTTGATACCGCGGTCGTTTAATTTTTTAGTCACTTTCTCACTCCTACTCAGTACTATTGAAAATAAGTCAATTTCTTTTTGTTTTCTTTTTCTTTTT